GAACAGTGACATCCGGAAGAGCCTTGGAATACAGCCTTTGCTTCTCCAGATTGAGAAGTCACAGCTGCGAAGGTCTGAGCATGTGCTGCGAATGCCTCCAGAGAGGAAGGCGAAGCAATTGTCTCTTTTTTTTTCCTAGGCGACCAGCAGAAGGCCTATGGGAGGGCTAAGATTGATCTGGTGCAGGTGTATGGAAGGAGTCCGCTTTAGATTCCGGTTGTCTTCTGACAAAGCTTAAGCGCTTGCGCATGATCGCAACACCCCCTGCCTGGCGACGGTCTTCACGATCCGAAAGGAGAAGCATAGGAGGAAAATGGAGTGAATTGAAGCGTGGAAATGAATGAGTGCCCGATCGAATGATGAAATAAGAAACACCGATATTGCAACGAATGCAAACGTTTTTTAGTCTTTCTTGAGTGTTTTCGGTATTGTTTATTCATCAGGTTTTCCGAGTTATTGTATTTCAGCGACTCTCCCAAACAGCATCATTCGTCATTTGCCTGTAATACTTTTTAGCATTGGATTCCAACTTCGCATAAATTCCAGTTACTGCTGACAGCGACGATCTAAACATCATCCAGAAAACTACTCGACTGAACAATTTCATACTTTATTTGCAATTATTCAATTGTTCATTGTTTTGCTCGATGCCAAGTAACATAAACGAAACCTACTTTCCTTTCTAAGCCAGATCTTGAGCCACATGGCTGAAATATGCAAAGTGTATGGAAAAGTCAACCTTTGAAATATGCTAAATCCAACGTTTTTAATGACTGAGGATTTTATGGCTATAAATATCTTTCGAGGATGCTGTCGTACAGTTTTGATTAAGTGTCATTTTAAGTGAACAGAGATTCGTAAATTAATAAATTAATATTTAGTATTCTATAATTCAGACTTTAGACATTTACGTCTACAACAAACAAGATCCAGATTCGCTATGCTCAGAAATCTGCCGTTCGAACGCGTCGGGCTCCGAAGGGATTTATGCTCAAGTTCTACAGCGTTCAGAAGTC